TATCCTATATTAAAGCCCCTAGGCCTCCTTTGCAGAAGTCCTCAAAGCCAACGTCGAAGAAGTACGAGGAACTGTGGACTTTCTCCCTATTGCTTCAACGAATGAAAAGCGAGAAAGATCAAGAGATACGTATGTAGTGGGTATAGCATTATATATCTCAGGCTTCAATTCCTTAATCTGGTTACCTTTCTCATCATAAACTACAATTTCACCATCTTCGGTGCTCTGCAAAATCCTGTAGCGCTGGCCCATAAAGAATTCTCTTCTTCCATAGAACCATCTCTCCATTTTGTTCTCCTTTTTCTTCCTTTCCGTTTCTAAACAAAACACAATTAGCTCATAGAAAACTTTTTAAAAATTTCCAGTCCACTGAAATTAGACTTCGCTTTTTTAGAATTCTTCTTATGTTTCCCTTCTTGAAAAACTTCTTCTTTTGTGGAAAATCATTTGTGCTTCATAATAGCATCTAAGTTTTATGTGCCCCATTTTACCAAATAATTAGTAAGAAGCAAGAAGAGAACATCTCAAAGAAGAAAGCAAACTATTGATCACAAATATGGATTACAATTCTCTATTTATAATGCCTAGTAATAAGAACTGATATTCTAGAAGCCAAGAATTCTACTTCTAATAGGAAATAGAACTAGAAATTGTATACGTTGTAAAATCAGCACAATTATGAGTTGCAATTTAAGTCTCATATAGGATTTGCTTCATTCATTTAATTTATTTAATCATAGGGGTCGCAATGAAAGGTCAAGACTAATTTTTTGCAAATTATTACTTGTTTTATTTACATTTAAAAGGATTTGAAAAATAATTTACACTAACGTCATAGTCGATAGATAAGGTTTGTTTGCATGTAAAAGATAAAAATTAAGTTATCAAAATATTTTTTCGGATTAAAAGTTTAACCATTTTAAAAATATTTTCTAGCGATAAGTGATTAGTAGGGATATCTCCTTATCTCTTCATAAACAAAATTGACATGCGTATAGGATTAGGATTAAATTATTTTTATAAATAATAAACTAAGGCTATGTGACTTGTTAATTTTTTGTATTTTTTACCTATGAATTTTATTTGTAATAAAAATGCAATTTTATACTAAGTGATTTGAAAAATAATCTCTCTGGATAAAAAGTATAATTTTTGTTCACAAGGAATGTTGATTTTCATTTTGTTATAATAAAATAGCATCCTTCCCAAGTAGCCCACGTGTTTTTGGGTTATGGTCCGTAGAGAGTTGTTGTAAGTTTGGATTTTACTTTTTTTTTTTGTATTATTTTTTAAAATTTAATACATGATAAATTGTACTTGGTGGTTCTTGATAACTAACTTTATCTTTCTCGCGATCTAACTTCAAGTTCGTTATGCCTGCGGGAGTATACTACTGTCCATCTACTCCTTAGACCAAAATATATACTAGAAAAATCCTTTCGATCCCAAAATTTTGGGATATAATCTGTAGAGCCCTAAGACCGACCTCATAGACAAAAAAAAAAATTTACTCTTACTTTCTAATCAAATTTATTGAGCGTTACGACAATTCCAAGTCCTCTCTGGTAATAATCTTGTAATAATGATAAATAACCTCAAGACATGCAATCCCTTGGGACTTTTAGCGGAATTAGAGTATGTTATCGCAAGAGACATCTCAACTGCATTTGCCACAAACCGTAGAGAGATTAGGACAAAAGTTAATCTTCACAAAGTATAAATCCAACAGCAGCGTTTTATATGTAGTCTCGAATATGAAAATACCTTTCATGAATAGGCGCACTTGCGATGGTATCTTGCGGTCATTTTTTAAATTGTTCGCTACAAAACGCAAACTTTCCATTTTTATTTCATAAACACAATCAAGATATTGTTCAAATATTATTCAGATCATTCAAGATTATTATTAGGGTGCGGTTCCTATAAGGTTGCAACCTTAATCAATGCACCTTAAAATTTTATCATAACATGTAATTTTGTTATAAAAAATTCATAGCATTATCTTAAAATCTATTTTCATACATAATTAGAAAATTTTAAATTTAAAAAATGGTTAAAATCAAGTAGATCTATAAATATATGTAAATACTGAAAATGGACCTTCTAGATAATGTGTTGCAAGATGCACTATTTTCCCGACTCAAAAACTTTTTTATTTCATATTCATATATCTCAATGTCGAGGTGAAACATTAGATGGTTTTTTCAACATTAAAAAAATATTTCCGATAGATTTTTTGAGTAAGCATTTTAAAGTTGCAACCTTATATAAACTTTTCTATTATTATTATTACGATTATTATTATTATTATTTTATGAGATAATGGACCTCTCAAATCTCATAGGAATTCCAAATAATTTCAACCTTCTCTCCTCAAAATTAATTCGAGTTTATCCATTATTAGCCAAAACATAAATCCTACCCACATTAGGACTCTAACTGTCTTTCTCTCTCTCAATAAGCGATATATATATATATATATATTTATATATATAAACACAAGCAATGTTGCCCCTCTTACATATCTTTCGCCTCTCCCCTTCTCTCTATTTCTTTATATAAACTCTCTCTCCCTCTCCCAATGTTGCCCCTCTTACATATCTTTCGCCTCTCCCCTTCTCTCTATTTCTTTATATAAACTCTCTCTCCCTCTCCC